TGGAGTCCTACGGGGGTTGGGGCAAATTACCACCCCTAAATCCTAGGGACTCAATTGCAATCAAATAAGAAAAAGTAAAGAATTTGGTTCAGGTAAGGTAAAGAATGGGGGCTGCACTAAAATTTTTCCCTTTTTTTTTTATCAGTTAAAACACGCGTCCAAAGAATCTTGCAGTCTCTCCATAATAATATAGACGTGCGATATAGCAGATATAATCCCAACAACCAGGCCGGTAACCCGCTAGGATCACAAACTCACAGGTCACACACACACACACAGAGCCAAACCCTCGAAAAAAACTCCGTTCCGTCTCCTCTGTTTCTTCTTTTGCTGCGGTGAAATTGATTATCTTTCTGCGGAGAAATGGCGATGGCAGGACGTATCAGATCGACTCTTCCTCTCCTGAACAAGATTTTGAGATCTGATTCAATCTCCACTCATGGATCCATCATTCGACCAACCCTCCTTTCCCCACAGGTAACCCGCCACCGCTAATCTCACATACAAAATCGAATCTATTTAGGGTTTTCGAATCTTTCTCTATTCTATTCCGTTATTGAGCAAAAATGGAGGAGGAGGACGACGATGACGATTGTGTGCAATGTATCTTTGACTTAACCAAATTCCAAACCAAATAACTAGGGTTTTAGTAAGGATAGTTTGACCTGTTCGTAAGCATTAACAATACAGAGTCCAAAATTGCATTAACTTCCTGTTTCGTCTTATTGTGTAGATCTCCAAGAATTATGCTACTGCTCCCACAAAAAAAGAAGACAAAGTTAAGGTACCTACCTGTATTCGTTGTTTTTCCAATCTAAGTTTCTCAATTATATCATTCTTCTTTGGTTATTTCATCCTGAGAAAGTCTTTTTTTTTTTTTACATAGAAATCGCTGTTAAATTAAATTATGCAATTGCAATGCAATAATAATATACTCAGCTTCAGTCTTTTATAATTTGTTGATATGGTTCTTTTGTATTCACCAATATGAAGCTCTAGTTTTAAAATATAAACAGTGCCTCAACTTATTTTGCATATGGTTTTTGTATGTAATGTAATGGAAAGTGGTTGGTGTTGTTTGTGTTTCTTATTTCTTATTTTCATAAATTTTAGGTGCCTCTGGTTTTGTTTGGGGGATCTGGAAACTATGCCTCCGCATTGTACCTTGCAGCAGTAAAGTCAAATTCTCTGGACAAGGTTGAGTCTGAAATACTTGACCTTGTTGAGTCTTTAAAGAAAAGTCCAACATTTTCTCAGTTTGCAAAGGATTTGTCAGTACCTGCTGATACTAGGGTCAAGGCTGTTAAGGAGATTTCTACCCAAGCTAAATTTTCAGACGTTACCAAGAATTTCCTGGGTATGATACTAATTCATAACTGATTCATGAAAACTGGAACATGTTATTGTTTCTGGCCAGGCCTACAGCTTACCTTTAAATAATGCTCTTGCTGGCATGACCATGTCATTTAACCATTCTCATTCAAATAAAAAGGAAACCAAATAAAAATAAGATATGTTAATACACTGAGTTGGTGCTTTCTTAATACAGTCATTTTCAATGTGGATTGTACTGTTAAGCATTCTAATTTCACTGCAATCTTGTCTTGCATTAGGTGTTAGGTTCTTATTACTTTTAACTTTTAAGTGACACAAGGAATATGAGATTGTACCGTTAACATGCAGTCTTTGAGCCGTGATGATTGGTTATAACTGCAGATTTGCATGGTTGTGCCCTAGCTTGCTAAAAAGTCTCGCAATAAATGTCTTTTCCACAGATATTGAGTAGTTGTAGGAAACTTTGGTTTCTTAAAATTAACTAAGTCATATTGTCAGTGTTGCTGTGTCTGATTTTCTTATTTCTGTTTATTTTGTTCTTGTTGAGTTGTTCGCTTTGCTGTTACTGTTACCCAAACATGGTGTTACTTTGTAATTGTTTGTTATATGCTTTCTGTACTTCAATCTAACTGTTGCACAATAGCCTTTGGTTGAGCTGGATTTATCACTTACTAGTCTGATTTTCTCTTTTTTCCATTTTTAGTTTTCTTATACTTCATAATATGAAATGTGTACCTTTTTTTTTTTTTTGCTAGTTTTGTTGGCTGAGAATGGGAGGCTAAGGTTCATAGACACCATTGCGAAGAGATTTGCTGAGTTGACCATGGCCCATAAGGGAGAAGTGAAAGCCATTGTTACAACCGTCATTGTAAGTCTATTCTCTTGGCTCAGGTGCTTCTTATATGGTAAAGGCATATCATTCATCATGTCTGTTGAGAAGTTTTGCAATGCTTACTCAGTCGCTATCCATATTTGCCTTCTTTTGCTTTGCTGAGGCATGTTGCTAACTCTTTTTAAATCTAAGACAAGTTTTCCTGCAAGATTGTGACATGGGGTTCAGCCACCCCTCATAAATCCCTCAAATAACCTATATTTTTCTTTCATTCTCTCTTATATTAATTGCTTTTATTTGTTATCAGCCCCTTCCCCCTCAGGAGGAGAAAGAATTGAAGGAGACCTTGCAAGAAATTCTTGGACAAGGGAAGAAGGTTCAGTTGGAGCAGAAGGTACACTGCTTGAGACGTTTGTGTCTGTGTACTTGAGTGCACCACATGTTTTAAGTCTAAAATTTCTCTCCTTTGTGCCAGATTGATCCAAGTATTCTTGGTGGGATCACAGTAGAGTTTGATAAGAAGGTGTTTGACCTGTCCATTAAGACGAGGGCACAGCAGATGGAACGGTTCTTGCGTGAGCCAGTCCAACTGGGAAACCTCTGAACATCAACTCACCTTTCCTTGTGTTCTCATGTGGCAAGTGGGATGCTCCAACTGGAAGGTTCAGTATTTAAGTTTTTGTTTTGTTCTTTGGCTGTAACTTGCCTTTTCATTTGATGGAAAGCATCTTTTGCAAATAAAAGAAAACATGCTCCTGCCTTCTTGTTTGGGTACTTGTGGCTACGGCCTTCAAGTTTCAAGCTCATAATTGTTCAAGTACTGATATACTTCTTGGTATGGAAATTATTACCTTTTCTTTAAATCTTCTGAATGATATTTTCTTTTTGTTCTTCTGGGTTGAGTTGTATTGTATGGTTATTATTATTATTATTATTATTGTTATCTTTTTTGAACAACTACAATTTTTGGGGAATGGGGAAGAGGAATGGGGCCAACAGTCCTTGAACCTTAGTCGAGCGGATGGCAAGTAGTACTGCCTTTACCCACCCCATGGACTAGGTTCGTATTGTATGGTTGTTATTTGAATAGAGTAGGACTCGGGAAAAAATAACATATTCAAATAATTGTTGTATTAAGAAGTCGATTATATGTTGTTGCTGCTTCCTGGAGTACCGCATGTTGGGTATTTTTTTTATTTATTTATTTTGGTTGTATAATAAGATACAATTATTTCTCATTTCTTATCTTATTTTACTTGTATATTATGTGATTCGAATTCAAGATTTTTTATTTTATTCTCATTGGAAGGAGGTGACTATTGAACTAATTAAGTTTTAGGCGGCATGTTGGATACTTGAGTTTGAAGTGTTTGATTGGATTTAACGTGGACTTTCCTATGATTATTAGGCTTGTGGAACCGTGAATTTTTTGGATTGGACCGTTGGCCCTTTAGAGTACCTCCGTACCTTTGTTTTGTTTACATTCCTGTTTTGGGCCAAGCCGCCTAAAACGATGTCTCTGGTACAAAAAAAACTTTGGAAGCTTTGTTTCCGAGCCCACAATTTTTGTTATGGGTTGGGCTTAGTTGCCTTGAAAATTGGGATGCTCGGGTCAGAAAGGCTTTCTGAATTGGGCTTCTGGTCAATAAGTGTTTTTGAACTGGGCATATCGTTTATGGGTTGGGGTTAACAGACCCATATATGTTTCTCCAGTCCTTGTTATAGGGACTAAACTTGTTCAAGATTGACCTAGTTAGCCCCATTGGAAAGAGTGGATGAAATGGATTATTATTCAAATTTAGAAAATAAAATACTTTCGTATCTGTTTATTACATTTAATTTATTGGAAGCTAGACTCCTAGTAAAAAGCTAATTTCCAACTTTAATTGAATCCCAGAATGAGAAATATTAAAATTTTAATTTGTTGCAGCCTTGGATTGTTATTAAAATGCTTTGTAATTTGTGTGTGTGTTTTGGTGATGGATGATAAATATCTCTATATGTTCCACGGTTTTACAGTAATTCGATTGTGAGGATTCTGGACTAGCATTTTCAGGAGGATAAGTTTCTTGCATGCCTGAAAATGCACAATCTAGTCTCGTATAATTGGGTGTGTTGTGTTTTTTCATCTTTTTTAACATATGTTGCTTGGGGCAGGCTTGCAAGCAAGCAAGCATGAGTAGAGATTTTTGTTGTGTTTTCATGGACAGCTAGGTGTTTGTTGAGAGATAACGCATTTTGAAACATTGGAGTAGCTTGAGAGTTTCCCATCCTGTATCCACTTTTTCCAGCCCAGAAAATGGCGGCAGTCCTTATCATTTCAGTAACCAGAATATTCATGTGCCGCCATATATTTTTATTTATTTATTTGTTTATAGAACTGAGTAAGACTCCCATGTAATGTTGATTTGTATTTTTCTATGATACATGATTAATGTTGTCCGTGGCTTCTTCTTAATTTGCCATGTATATAGTGATCAAAAGCTAGCACTAGCCATTAGGTAAGGAAAGGGAAATATATGAAAGTGAAAGATCAACACAGAAGAAGAAAATCAAAGCTGTCGATGTTATTGCTCGCTCTTGTTGATTATTGATAACTTGAGGTCTAATCAAAAACATTAATGGATTTAATTTGTTTGCAAGAATCATACAGCCCCTTTTGATCAGACAAGTTTTTCATAACTTTTGCTTTATCTACTCTTATAAGAAACAAAGATTATTATCTATGTATATATATATATATATATATAAAAATTGAAGGATGGTGAAGTAATATTTAGAGGTATCAAGAGACAATGATAAAATTAAATTGAGGAAAATATGTTTCTCTCTTCTTTTTTTTTTTTTGTATATGTTATATAATGAGTTATACAAAAAGAGATAATTCTTTTTTTTTAAAATATTTTCAATCACCTTAAGATTTAAATTTGAAAATTTTAATATGAAAACTTAGTCTTTTAATTATTATGATGTCATATAAAAAATATTTGTTTCTTTTAAAATATGAAAAAACATTATTAATCTAAAGTAAATTTTGAATAGAAATATGTTTATGATTTTGGAATGGAGAATGTAAATAGCAACAAGAAATTAAAAGCACTATGATTTCGATGTTAAACTTTGAGTCTTAACAGAATGTTACCTTTA